TTGGAATTTTGGTGAGTGTTGTGCATACCTTGTGGGTTGAGGTATGTGCACGGCAAATTTGGTGAGTTTTCGTTGGGGTTTTTTCGCATTTTGCTGTCCCGTTGAACACCCTTTCCCTTTTTATATATATAGATATAAGATACCATGATTAAGGGATTTCTTTTTTGGTTTTTGAAAAAGTATTTCCAAGATTGGGATGGTCGAATCAGTGGATGCAAAACCCATGGATATTGAGGTCCAATTGTAACCTAAGGATCCATATCCACAAGTCTCATCGCTTTCTCCCGGACGATGAAGCAGATCAAGTACTGAAATGCGAACCCAGGAAAATCTGATTAGAAATCAAAGTTAAATTTCTTTTGCTCACCTGGACAGGATAGCCGTCCCAAACTTTCCGGAGATCGTAAAACCAGGGTTTCTGCAGGAATAAGACACCAAGATGGAGCAAAGAAGAACAAGTGTGGGTCAATTTCAAAATTTTCTATTTCCCCCCCCAAAATTAGGATCAATAAATACAAACGAGGTGACGGTACTTACATCTGCTATAACAACCATGCCAGCAATGAAAGCAATAAGGTAAAAGGTGAATCGCCAACTGGAAAAGGAAGCACAAAGGATGGGGACTTTTTTTTTCAGAGCATGACAAGAGTTCCACTGGGCATGTGCCGAATGCCCCTTGTTTCATACAATTGAATAGATACAGCCTTGCTCTCAGAACGTGGTACAGCCCTGCTTACCTGGCTTCCCGAAACTTCTTCAGCAAACTGGGCCGGTCCTGGTTGCGCCGGCGCCGGAACCAGCGCTCGACCTGCCGGGCGGAGCATCCGCTTTTCTTTGAAAGGGCCTCGATGTCCGCCTGCAAAGGGAACGGAAGCAAATTAGGGAAATAAAAGAGGTCGCAATCCACAAAGACAGCCACAATCTGGGGCTATTAAAGTTTGGACTAAAACTCGGAGCGGACTGACTGCTGAAATTGAAATTGAATTATACAGCAAAGTATCAGAAGATGTGTTTTGTTACGGGTAGTTCCTTTTTCTTCTGAGTGAAAAACAACAACAACAACAACAACATTACTTTTTACCTGTTTGGGATGTTTGCAGGAAGAAGTGTAATGTTTTTCTAAGATGGGATTCGGTGTGGCTTTTAACCGGACTTTCTCCTTGACGTTCAAAAGTCTCGCTAATGGAGTGGCCACATATCTGAAGGAAGGAAAGCAAAAAAATAAATAAATTGGATATTGTTCCCAAAACATCCAGAACTCGAATGGGACAGAAACAATGCTGAAATTCAGCAACTAAGGAAAACTTTGGAGGGATTTCTAGGAGTTATAGTTCACCTACAGCCACAGCGCACTATGAACCCAAACAATGATGGATCTGGACCAAACTTGGTGGCACTATTTACAACAACACAGTTTCAATAACACAAAGTTCAACTGTCACACTGGAGCTCTACATATGAGGCCTTCTCATACTGAGGCCCATTAAAACTGAAGCCTACCTTACACTGAGGCCTCTCTCACAATGAGTTGAACTAACACTGAGGCCTTCTCTCACTAACTACTTCTCTCACACTGAGGGCTACTTCAGAATGAGGCCTACCTCACACTGAGGCAAACTAACACTGGGGCCTTCTCTCACTAAGTCTTTCTCTCACACTGAGGGC